ATTGTTACAGTCACTATGCTTCTCCGTCTTCTTGAGGGTCTTCCTCTTCATCTGACCCTCCTCCTTTCCCGGGATGATGTCAGTTTTAAAGGACTGTTTCACTTTGACAACATGCCCAAAGTATGTGACATTGAGTTTCACTATCCTTGTCTCTTTAGAGTGCCCTAATTACACTTCCTTCAAGACAGACTTCTGGCAATCCTCAGGATATGAACTAATCTTCTCCAGTACCATAGCACAAAAGCATCAGTTCTTTTGTCATCCTTATTTAGTCCAACTTTAAGATACACAGGACTTGAAAGACCACAGCTTTGATCAGGCACACCTCAGTCTTTAAACTAACATCATTGCTCTTTAACACTTTGGAGACATTATTGACAGCAGATTTTTCCCAAAGCAGCATGTCTTTTGACTACTGCTGCCATAGGTAGCTCTGGTAATTAAATAGGGAGTTCTGGTGACGTAGTGTAAAGAAGCTGTGCTGACATCCTCAAGGCATGCAGTTCAAATCAGTCAGTGGATTCAAAGGACAAGGATAGACAGTCTCCTCCGGTGTGATTGACTACTTCTGAAAACCTGCTGGAGGATCACCTATGGTTTGGTTCTGACTTGACGGCACACAGTAACAACAACAACAAACCATAAGTATTATTTTGAATCAAAAAAATTTAAATCATTAACAACTTCAATTTTTTTTTTTTTTTCATCTACCATGATGGCCTGTTTGCCCACTGGCGAGGATTTTTGTCTTCTTGATGTTGGGATGTAATCCAACAAGTCTTTGATCTTCTCCAAACAAGTGTTTCAAATTCTCTTTATTTTCAGGAAACAGGGTTGTGCCATCTGCATAATGCAGGTCGTTGATCTGTATTCCTGTAATCCCGATGCCATATTTCTCTTCATATGTTGTTGTTATATGCCATTGAGTCACCTGCAACTCATAGTGATACTATGTACAACAGCTCTAAGCCCTGCTCTATCCTGTGACAATCTCACCATCTTTGACACACCTACCTCCATTACCCCAATCACTGAATCAATCCATCTCATCAGGAGTCTTTCTCTTTGGTGCTGTCCCTCCACCCTCCCAAGCGTGATGTCCCTCTCCAAGGTCTGATCCCACCTTGCAACATGTCCAAAGTATGTCAGATGAAGCCTCAGAATCCTTGCCTCCAAGGAGCAGTCTGGTTTCACCCTCTCCAGAACAAATCTGCTTATTCTCTTAGCAGTCCATGGTATATTCAGTACTTTTCTCCAACACCACAGCTCAAAGGCATCAATTCTCCTTCTCTCATCCCTATTTATTGTCCAGATCTCTTATGCATAGCAAGTAATTGCAAAGACCATGGCTTTTATCTCTTCATATAGTCCAGCTTTTTTAATTACTTACTCAACATACAGAATAAATAGATACAGAAAAGGATACACCTCTCATGCACACTTTTGCTGATTTTAAACCATGCTTTGCTCCCTTGTTTTGGTTGGACAGTAGCCTCTAAGTCTATGTAGAGTTTTCTCATGAGCAAAATTAAGTGTTCTGGGATTTCCATTCTTTCTAATGGTGGCCTAATAATTAAATATGGAGCTCTGTTGGTCTAGTGGTCATGGTTCAAATCTATCAGCTGCTCTTTGCGAGAAATGGGTTATCTCCTTCTGTGTAGTTTACTGCTTCTGAAAACACACTGCAGGGTTAGCTATGAATCAGGTCCAATTCAAGAAGAAGGTCCTTAATGCGATGGATTGACACAATGACTGTGACAATAGCGGAAATTGCTACAGTGGTACAGGATAGGGCAAGATTCCCTTCTGTTGTTCGTCAGGTTGCTGTGAGTTGCAGTCGACTTGAAGGCACTCAACAAAAATGATCAAATGGGCTCCCTTGCTAAGACAAGTAATTTCCTTTCTCAACTACTATGACTTCCTTAGTTTCCATAAGCAAGCTGCCATTGAATTGACTCTAACTTGACTCCATTTGTGTCTGAGTTGAACTCGGTTGCATGGAGTTTACACTGACTGTTTTTTCCAGAAGCAGATCACCAGGGTTTTGTTCCAAGTGTTTCTGGACAGAGTTTAACCCCAAGTCATTTGATTAGCAGTGAAGTAGGTGAATCATTTGCACCATTCAGACACTCATTAGTTTTAATTCAAATTGGCAAATATAAGGAATAGAAACTAAAACCAGAGGGGAAGCACCCAGCTTTCACAAATTGATTCCTTTTGTGGTGACGAGCAAGGTCCTTATATTGCCATGGCATATTTTTTTCTTTTTCCATACTTTTCTATTTTAGAGAAGATGTTAGTTGATTTTTTTCTTTTTTGTTTTTCTGTTTGTTTTGATATATTCTTTACTCTGTAAACAGTAAGGCTATGAATACAATTTTTAAAGAACAGTCACTAATGGAAAGTCTGATTTGAAGAAATAAAGAGCAAATCAACTGTTGCTTCTGAGTTTGTTTCTCATCTGTTGGGGGATGGAGGAGGAATTGGATTAACTTTTTTTTTTAAGTATGTCTTTCTAGTTTATGAGATTTGTAATCAGGTTGGATCATACTACACAATGAAATAAAATAAAAAAAAATACTATTCCCTTCCTCTTTATAGTTCTTTCATTTCATTGTTGTGCAAATCTGCAGAAAGCAGACTAAAACTAATTTCAGACAAAGAGGACAGCCTGGTCCAGTGAGGCCTGGCATATTTGACATTGTCCTGCCATCACGTGTTTCATGTGATGAGAAGCAATCTGCAGCCTGGGCTGCATCTCTGCCTTTCTGTGATTAGAACAAATTGGTGTTGGCTTTCTTCTGCCTTTTATCTGGGATCTAGGTGTTTCATGTTGAAGTCTTAATTATTCAGGCAGTTCTCAGCTTTGATCTTTGAATTGTAAACTTTTTTCCTAATTGTTGTTTAGTGACCATCGTAAAGCCTCCTAGTTCAGAAATGTGGAGTGTTTCATTGTTGGCTCATGTTTTTCACCATGTACCATGACCTTAGAGCACACCGGTGGGTAAGAGCTTTGACTGAATTAATCCACATCCTGATTCAACCACTGAAAACCAAGTGCTATCTGCCCTATTCCTACTCACAGTGACCACATAGAGGGTAGAGTAGTGCTGTCCTCCATGAAATTTTCAGGATCTGAGTTTTCAAAACTAGATCCCCGCATATTTGTTCCAGGGCACATCTGGTAAGTTCAGGACTCCAGCATCGGAGTTCAACTGCGTTCGATCCCAAGCAAATGAAATTAACCCACAGTAAGACCCCATTTACTTTTTGGCATATTGGAAAAACAATTGTTATCAGGGTTAAATTAGAGGACATATGTGAGTCAGTTGGCACAACAATGCGGGTGATCAATAAGTGATAACAATTAGTAGTCGATATTATCTGATTTTGTCCTAATTAGACATCTTTCCTGATCTAAGAGAGCTGAACTGACTCCCAGGAAGAGTATTTTTTGCCTAAATGCCAAGGGAGTAGCAGTCTGTAGTGTGTGCTCTGCTAACTCTGCTTCCTGTGGCTCACATCCCCCAGCAGCTCTGAAGGAATGAGGTGGACAGTCTCCTCCTGTGTAATTTACAGGCTCCAAAAACCCACTGGAGGGTCAGCTAAGAGTCAGTTCTGATTAGACAGCAGTGAGTGTGTTGTAAGGAGTGATGAAGATTATGAACTACATTTACACTGGCAACATCTCACTACTCACTTTGTACTACATTATGTTTTATTAGCAATTCAGAATTTTTAAATTCAGACCTTTTTATACATTTTTTTCCATTCTATTTAGGCAAGATTTGTTGTTATTGTAGCGTACCATGGAGTTGGAATTGACCCATAGCTGACGCTCCAGCGAGTTTTCAGAGGCACTTAATCACATGGGAGGAGAGTGTCCATTCTTCCATGGAGCAGCAGGGGGCCTCGAACCGCATGCCTTTGGGATTGCAGCGCAACTTCTTGCCACTAGGCCATCAGAGCTCTTCTTAAAAAGAAATATAAGATGGCACAGCTCCCCCTAAGCCTTAAAGCAGATAAAATTCCTTGGCTTTCAAGTTAATTCTAGCTTATAGGGCAGAGTAGAACTGTTCAATAGAATTTCCAAAGCTGTAAATTCTTCTGGGAGCAAACTGCCACCACATTTTCTTCCCACAGAGCCTTGAGTGGTTTTAAAGCACCTCTCTTTGAGTTGGCAGCTGAACACTTGACCATTGCACCACCAGGCTCCTTAAACCAAATTACAGCACAGAGATGGAGCATGAGAAACACTGATATTTGAATGGGATTTCTCAGTTTTAACTCCATAATAGAGACTAGGGCTTAACTTGATTTGGCTTTTGGAAAGTGAACATTTTCAATTTTTCTCTCTGATAATGGCTTATATTATTGGAATGGCTAACTTTGAATAGTTGTAGCATTTAAACAACTCTGAATTGTGTGAATCTTTAGAATGCTTTCTAGTGTGTGATGCGGGGATTCCTAGTGAGGGTTCCCAAGTGGCCTCTGAGAAATGTGTGTGTCTCCTGATAGACATGGGCTTATTCCTTCATGTAACTCCTACACATACTCCGATGTGATGTGATAACTAATACCACGACTCGGATTTTTAAGCAGAACATGATGACACAATCAGATTAGTTGGATGCTAAATTCTAAGGTCATTGAAAATAATTTTTTTAATCAGAAAAAAGCAAATCCATCAGGAACTCAGCTGAAAGATGGTGATTTTATTTTATTCATCATGTAACTGAAAATATTTTTTTTCTTAAAGCAGACAAAGTTAATATAATTAAGGCAATACTACTGAAACTTGAATTTAGACTGATAATCTCGTACACATAAACGAGGAGACTAGACCACTAACAAAGGGATAAACTGAGTGTAAGAAAATGACAACTGTTTACAGTTTTTGGCAACATTTAGAACAGGGTGCTCCTCCTGATGTACAACAACTGTTTTAACAGCTGCTTTTGTCTTTCTTTTTCTCCTCCTCTCCTGAAAATTCTCTCCCCAGGGTTTTGAGTCATGATGCAAGAATCTGGGACTGAGACACAAAGTAACGGGTCAGCCATTCAGAATGGGGCAAGCAGCGGCAACCACCTGCTAGAGTGCGGGGGTCTCCGGGAGGGAAGGGCCAACGGGGAGACACAGGCTGTGGACGTGGGGGCAGCCGACCTCGCTCACCTCCAGCAGCAGCAGCAGGTACTGGGCTTAAGGGTCCCTGGGTGGACGGTGGAGTGAGCATATTGTCCTCGAAACTCTCAACTGCTTTGAATGCTTTCTGTTTGCCTGTATTTTAACAGCCTCCAAAAGCAATCGAGGGTTGCTGTGAGTTGCAGTGAGTTTGCCTCATTTGTTAGGGTTGGAGTAAGGAGTGCTAGTAGCATAAAATTTAAACGCGCTTGTTTATTAACTGAAAGGTTGATGGTTCACATTCACCCAGTGGTTCTGTGGAAGAAAGCCCAGCTGATAAGCTCTGGTAAAGATTGTGGTCCATGGGCACCTTGGAGTCAGCTCTGGCCCATAGCACAGAAGGAACTCGACCTGATCCTGCACTATCCTCACTGCTTCCCTTGTGCCAAGCCATCAGCAAAGGCTGGGCACTTCAATAGGGCTCTGCCCCTCAGAGTCATCTGAGTTGGAATTGACTTGGTAGAAACTAACAATACAACAGATTTTGAGTGGCTGTCTTAATAAGAGTCGATTGTCAAGCTTGGAGGTCTGTGCAGAAATATGTGGAGCAGGGATGGGAAACACAGAAGAGAGTAAGATTTTGTACTGGCTACTTCCAGTTCTCAACATATCAGCCAACTGTTTTAACTTTTCTGGAGAAAGTTAGTATTTGGAGAAAGTATTCCCAGTGCTTTCATTAAAAAATGAAAAATTGAAACAACACAAAAAAGTGAGTCTAAGCCTTATGGAGAAGAAAATAAAGGATTAAGAGGGGGAAAAAAGAGTGTTTACATAAGGAGGACTGTTGTTGTTGTTATGTGCCGTTGAGTTGCTTGAGACTCATAGCGACCCTGTGTACAACATCCCTAAACTCTACTCTGTCCTGTGCCAATTGCACCGTCTCTGATACACCCATCCGGATTACCCCAATCACTGAGTCAATTCACCTCAAAGGGGGCCTTCCCCTTCTGCGCTGTCCTTCCATCCTACCCAACATGATGTCCCTCTCCAAGGACCTGTCCCTCCTTGCAGCATGTCCAAAGTATGTTAGACGGAGCCTTAGAATACTTGCTTCCAAGGAGCAGCCTGGTTTGGCCCTTTCCAGGATGAATCTATTTGTTTTCCTACCAGTCCATGGTACCCTCAATACTCTTCTCCAGCACCACAGCTCAAAGGCAAAATTGCAGGTATAATCGAACAGTTAGCAGTTTTCAAGTTCTTCTTGTTAACCTGTAGGGATTTAAGGTTATGAGCTTCTTCATTATGTTTTTCGGACACCTGTGATAGTTGGCTTGTGGCTAAATCCTATTAATATGCAAAATGATCTCTTGTTGGTGTCCTTCCTCTGCTGTGGCATCAGTGTCAGTTCTTAGCAGCCCTCCAGGGCAGGGCAGAGGTGCCTCATGGCATTTCCCAACTTTTTATGGGAGCAGACTGCTTAGTTTCCTCTCAGACAGAGACTAATGGGCCCCACCTGCTGACCTGTCAAACAGCCCAGTGCTTAGCCAGGGTGCCAACAGGCTCCTAATTGTTTTTGGGATTTGTTTTTGCTTTTGTTTTTGTTTTCAAGCCATGGGTGACTGGTCAACAAATTCACTCATGCTAAAAAGTGATTGGGACATTGTGCTGTTTTGTCAGAGAGCATTGTGAAAATTCAAACAAATAGTCTTCTTTCAAAGACAGACTTGACTTTATTGACCTCTGCTGGAATTAGGAATTAATAGTGCGTGGATTTTGTTTTGTTTTTGTCTATGATTAATTAATTCCATGGACAGTTTTGTGTCATTTGAAAAAAAAAAGGTAAAAAAAAATGAGAGAAAGAGAATGATTTATAAGTCTTGTGTGGTCAGAAAGGAGAACATAAACATTTTGTGAAACCAGTCTCTTGAGTCTGTGTCCTAGAAACTAAGAGTGGGAATAATGCCTTTGACAGACTCCAAAGTATGTTTTTTTGTTGTAAAACATAAAGACTGGGAGTCTCCAGAGCTGTGGTGGTTCCCAGGTCTCAGGAGATTTCTGCCTTTGTCACGAGTCAGTCCTGTCACTCCTTTCAGTGAACAAGGCTTGTGCTCTCCTTTTTCTCACAGATTTCTACTGTGCTGTCCCTCCACTCTCCCAAGCATGATGTCCTTTCCCAAGGACTGGTCCCTCCTTGCAACATGTCCAAAGTATGTCTTTGCCTCCAAGGAGCAGCCTGGTTGAACCTTCTCCTGGATGAACCTGTTAGTTTTTTTCAGCAGTCCATGATATATTAAATACTCTTCTCCAACACCACAGCCCAAAGGCATCTATTTGGCTGTGACCACTTTGAAAAACTTGCTGTCATGAAATGGATTCTGATTATAGTTTGAAACATAACATTTTTAGAACTATTTTATTTCTGTTTGTTAATATGTTCCAGGGGAGAAGAAAGCACTTGGGTCTATAATTGTGACTAAAACCCCACTTTTGTGGTTTGCAGGCTTTATGGACTTTTCAAAATAAAATATAGACAGCTGCTGACACCTCCCCCAATGTGATAAGTCTCTTAACAGATTCTTGTAGAAAAGGAGACTCGACTCTTCAGATGAACTAAGATATAGTTTGAAAAAGAATCAAGTGGGTAAAGTTACCAGTTTTTTTCAAGATAGAAAATGGCTACAATTAAACAGTACAGACAAAAGTGAATGTAAATGCAATGGACTCTGGCTTCTTTCGTCATTTTTATTATTCTACAGGTTTTTACTTGAAGTGAGAATACCAGCAGTGAGAAAATCACAGCCATGCTGAATTCATTACTGCAGTAGTCACACAAAACCACGGATAAAATTTCAATAACTGCAGGCCACAGTTGAGTAAACAGTTGCACTGAAATTTAATTCCTGTTGACTTTTCCCCCATTCCTCGCCAGGGGCACATTCTGATTCTGTAGTACAAAGACAACAGGGGTTACAGCTTTGATTAATGTAGGACAGTGGAGGAGAATTAGAACTGTAAAATATGTTAGAAGTCCATGCAACACAAAGATCTGGCTTAAAAGGGCTTGGTATAAAAATGAGTTAATTATGCCATGTATTGAACTGGGATTTTCCAGTGGCCCCAGTACCATCCTTGATATAGGGAAAATTCATACCTAGAGGCAAGAGTTCAAATAAATAAATGCAAATCTTCCCACATTTATCCTGTATTACCAGAGGAAATACAGATGGTAGTACATGCCCTTTCACAAAGGAGAGCCCTGACAAAGTTTGACTGTGGAGTGGGGAAGCTTCATGATGAATTGGGTCCAGGAAGCTTCATGCTAAATTGGGTCCAGGCAGAATTGTTTAAAGGGGATCAAGAGGTTTGACAGCTTAGAGATATGGGGAGACTCTGGCTTTGCCACTTTTCTGGAAAATCAGAGGATCAATTAGATGATGACTGGTCAATTTACATGAGGGTAACAGTTGTTTGGAGATTGAGGGGCAAGTGCCTGCTGCCCTTCTGGTAAACACTGAAGGCCACCTTGAAGTATGGCTAATACACATGCTCTCAGAATTGACTTGGTGACTGTGCTCTAGAGCAGGTCCATCATCATGCAGAAGCCATCAACCAAGGAGAGATACTGCTGGGAGCGGAGAACCCAGCAACTCACCCACAGTCGGTCTTCCTCCTGCCAAACTAAGTGCATTCTCTCTAATGTTTCAATTCTATTTATATCTGAGCCATGAAACTATTATACCAATACTTTCCTAATACTATAATTTGATAGAGTTTCTGAACATGTTCTTTTAGCCATTGAGTAATTCTTTGCCCTATACCATAACTGCTTTTTATTCCCTATTATGCCTGCCCCACTTATAGGTCTGTAAAAGTTCCCCACTGGATATGCACTGTACCATTATGAGCAACTCAGCAACAAATACTATTATCAATTATGAAAGGAGGGGTTTTTTTCCTTTCCTTTAAAGAAAGGATCTTAAAATGTCCAGAGTAATTTCATAAACTGTGCAGATTAATGCATTTTAAAAGTCTTGAGTTTTAGAAAGCAGAATTTTATTTCCATATTGCTGCAAATGAGAGCTTTTTCAGATAAGCATATTACATAGAGCATAATGTTTAGAAGTTCCTCCATATACAGCATATGCTGTCAGGTCAATTAACAGAATGCATACTAGAAAATGTTTATTCAATAAAAATGAATAGCTGTTAAATAAAACAGCTATTTCTTAACAACATCCCATTTAATGATGGTGGAGTGTGTGTGTGTGTGTGTGTGTGTGTGTGTATGGTTTTCCCATAGTACCACCTGGCATATTTATTGTCTGCGAATCAGGGTAGGGAGATCCTTGGCTGCTGTGGTTCTGAGGTGTAGCTCTCGTTTTATAGGATGAGGGCAGTTTCGAGGGATTCTGTGAGAAAGACATAAAAAAAGAATAAGCTTCATTTGGAATCTGAACATGTATTATTTAGAAAGTATGGAAAGGCAAAGTGTTTACTTCACATAGCTGCTTTACTGTTTGGTTCAAGATGTCAGAACTCCCAATGCAGGAGGCAGTGCGGAATGTTTCATGTCAACAATGAGAGGGGAAATGTTGAATGACTATTAAAGAAGTCAGAGTGGTAGAGAGGATGGGGAGAGTTCCTGGCGGGCGGGGTGGGGAGGTGGAATATGAAAAATAATAGGCGGATCAGGTGGGGCTCCCCTTTGCCAGTGGGGGATGTAAAAGTTTAGTTGCTACCCAAGTCATAGGATAAGTGTGATTCAGAGTCAAGAAAAGAAGTCCAGTTATGCACTTCAAAAGGGAAATAGAAAGGACCATGTCAGAGGAACGTAGGGGTTCCCAGAACTGGAGATACACACTTCTCTGGAAGCTGTAGGAGTCAGAACTGGGCATACACACCATCCACCTGTGGCTGGGGACCACTACTACTGTTCTGTTGCTCTCAGTCATAGAAAATAGCTATTTCCCCTTTCTAATGAGTTTCTACCGTACACAGGTTCAGCTTTTTGCAGGTATTCTGACATTTTTCTTGGAAATAGAGGATGTTCTTTTTGGTTGGACATTAAGACATTTTCTTCACAAACTGGAGAGAAAAAAAATCCACATTTAGTCTTTATCACTGAGCTTACCAGCCAGCGGGTTTTGAGAGCAGCCTTCTCTAGAAGCCTTTCCAGCTTTTTGCTGCCCCTACAAAAAAGAATGATTCTCATGAATCACTGTACAAGCTTATGTGGAAGGAGTCTATTTCTCCATATCTGTTTGAGGCCAATACTAAATTTCATGGGACATCCACTTGGTTCTTTCTTTTTCTGTAAACAAGCCTGTGTGAAGGAGGTAGAACAGCTATGCAAATGAAGGCTGTGGGCGGGCTAGCCCTTCCATTGTGCAGTTTCTCTTTCAGAAAAGAGTTGCTTGTGTACTTTGTTGAGACTATCCCAAAGTGACTTTTCCAATTGTAACTGCCAGGAGGTAACTGTATCTGAGGGTAAGGTCTTCTCAGGAGCAGTTAGGCGGAAACAGAGGTCAATTCCCCTGTTTCTAAGAAGGAGTGCTTCCAGCAAAGGAGTAAAGAAGAGATCTTACTCTTCATTGAGAGCCCCATGAGGTCACGTCCTATTTTAGAAGTTAGCACTTTCCTTACCAGGTAGGTAAGAAAACCTAGCTGTAATTTTAAAGGAATTGACCTACCAAGATATTTTTGTTCTAAAGACACTATAAGCTCAAAAACTCATTGCTCTTAAGTTGGAAGGGATTCATAGTTGACCTTCCAGTGGGTTTCTTGAGACTATAAGCCACATAGGAGGAGGTGACTCATTTTTCTGTCATTGCCATCTTTGGATTTGAACCACTGAAAAGACACCAACTATTGGGTTGGCAGCACGACTTCTTACAGACAACTCCACCAGAGCTTCCTTTATAGTGTGGAAAATAGGGATGATCAAAAAAGCTTTTTTAGAAACCATGCCATCAAAATTTTGGTGATAGAATAAAACAAAACAAACATGGAAACAAACCCAAGACAGAAATTCAGATGATGCTGACAATTAAAGAAAAAACAACTCCAATAATAACAAACACCCTCCTCTCTTCAACATTTTTCCCCCAATTCATTTCACAACTATTTCTGGAGAAGGCATGTTTCACCCTTCCAACAAAATATTGTTTTCAAAGATTTATGTAATTTGTAATGTGGGCCTTGTGTAAAATTTTTTCAAGTTATTATTACTAAACAGTTGTGTATCATTAATCTCTCTGTTGAAAATTAAGATGACACGGGAACCAAGAAAGAAAAAGGTTTGTGTTCATAGAGAACATGAAAATAGAAACCTAGATGCCACAATTCATTAAGAGTGAAGTGTACCCTCTTGACATCAAGAGAAAGCTTCACTGTTTTAGGAAGGTAATTGTAAGCTCTGACCTAAGAGCTAATATAATAATTAAAAACCCCTCTCCTGATCTATTGTCTAATCAAAACTCACTTTTTGAACTTTGTGGAGATGTGACTTTAATGTTAATTTGTTGACATATTAATGTCAGTGGCCTCAGAGTTTCTTTGCTCAAATGATAGAAAGGCTCCCTTTATCCAAGCCCTGAAGGGAAGGAACCTCCTTGGCTGTTTTGTAACTGGTCGTTTATTGACAACTAGTGCTGAGCAGGCAGAATTGGAATGTTTGTATAATGTAAACCTAGAGCTCCCTGATGGAGGCTAGTATTCTTTTAGGCTGTGCATAGATTACTTGATAAAAAGGGTTACAAGGTGACTGCTTTTATGACAAAGTAGAATAGTAGTATAAATGCAGGGAACACCAAGAAAGCAGTTTATGTTGAACCCTGTTCTGCAGTTTCTTTTCATTGCTTTGTCTTTGAACTAAAATCTTTTGTAATTATAAAGTATTACTTGTAACATTCCAGAGACCTCTTTGCTAATGCTCTATTTGATTTAGTTCGGAGAAATACAACCACATTCCCATTCCCCCAATACGAAAATGTGGTGAATAGAGTTACTCGTCCGGAACTTGTCCTTGCTTTGTTCTAAAGAGAACAAATGCTTCTAAGTTCACGTGAGCTACCTGTTACACCGGTGTGTTTACTGTCTTCTTTTGTTTTGGATTTCCTGAAATAAATCTATTCTCTGCATTTCCTGAAATGTATTTCATCATTTGTTCATGTATTCTTTCACTGGACAAAATTTTTGTTGGAAATCTTAATGTGAAGGGACCAAACTGATGAATAATCAGGTGTGAGGTACTAGGGAGCTAGATTAACTTTGTATGTTTTTATATTTATTTGACCAGAGCTTAGTTGAAGCAAACAGTACAGTGCAAAGTTAAAAGCTGTAGGTTTAAAACCACCAAGAGGGGCCTTATAAGAAGAGACTGTCAATCTACTTGTATAAAACTAGCCATTACACCTGACCGAGCAGTTCTCCAGACACACGTGGGGCCACCTTCAGTTGAAATCAGCTTCAGTCCAGCAACGCAGACAGCCCTTGACACTTATTTGGCCAGAACCTGTTACGTAGTTGTGGTGCCGATTGTAAGTAGCTTGGAAGTTTGGTTCCACTTTTGAGCCACTTAGGTTTCTAACCCAGTAAATGTTTCTTAGTGGAGAAGACAAAGGCATACCAAATGAGGTGTTCTGAAGTAGTTTAATAGTAGAAGAAATAAGTTAAGTAACATACGTTTTTAAACAGAAGAGATCCCAGAGGGATGAATATTTGTGACAAGTTGTTTACAGCTATTCAGGCATTTAGTAATGGCCACTAATTGAACCACATGTTATTGCTTCTGCTGCTACTTGCCGCTGAGTTGGTGCCAGCTCATGGTGACCTGAATGGAACATTGTCTGGACCTGTGTCATCTTCTTGATTTTTCTTTCCTGTCAAACTCACCCACACTTCCTCTGCATTTGATGTGCCTAGTCATCTGTATGTGCCAGGAGGGCAAGGATAAGCCTTTCTGTTGTCTTGACACTTACTTGCATAGTATTCAGTCCTGCTAGACTTGACATAAAAAGTCTTTCACAGGTAATGTGTAAGGAATGTAATAGGGAGAGAGGGAAATGACTGAGTAAAGAGAGATTGCCAAGGGTGTATTGGGAAGCTGATAGTCTTCTGAGGATGAGATGTGAGAGCATCAAGGATGGTAGTTAAGTATGATGATTCAGACTATCCAATCTAAATGACTGGGAGGATGATGGCACCCAAAACAGAGAGACAGACAGACATTAGGAGGTCAACCAAGCTCCTAGTTTACCTGTCACTAGTAGGTTACTATTATAAAATAAAGAAATAAAAACATAATTTGGACATTTTTTTAAAACAAAAACTTAGTAAGGCCATTATGATAATGATAACCCTTATAAAACTAATAATCACTATTTTGTAAAATTGTATATGTTTATTCTTCTTGCAGAAATTGAGTGCTTCCTCTTTTGCCTTTTCTACTTAATAATGAGTATATCTTTCAAGAGTCACATGCTGATAAACTTCTCATTGAATAGGTTTATCTCTTCTAGAGAACAGAACTTACTTAGACCTTTGATAAAGCCTTTTTGTTCCATATTGACACAAGCTTCTTAG